TATATATATATACTAGATAGGAATAAAATAGTCACAATATAAACTATTAATAAACACATTTTGTTCACAACCTGCACTGGTCTATACAAACAATACGTGATCGCGGTGTTAGTTGATGCATATGAAGGGATCCATCCGGTGCCAAACGTGATAACGTCACAGGAAACTTCAATGAATAAATTTTAAAATTGTATAATTCATTAAATTGGGTATCTTTTTTGTGAACATATGGCCGTGTGAAAACGTGAATGACTGAGCTGAATAGAATCAACAAATCTACTTGATTGTCCGCTTGCAGTTTTACACATGAAGATCATATACGAAAATATGAAAGGAATTCATTCAAGTAAGTACCTGCCACGGTTGACATCCATTGAGCGCACGATCACCGTATACATCATTCGTGGCAAGCGGACGTGAGAATCGAGCTTGTAAGACTCCATTGTTGATGGATGACATCTCCGTTTTGACGTTTTGTCTTTGGTCTGGCCACGGACTTCGAATTCCGAATACAGATTCATCATTGACACTTACTCGGGAATTGATCAGCCGCACAACGATTACATCCAGTCCAGATCGCTGAAATCATATTTCACTGAATTTGAATTAGAAATTCATTGAATTGAATCATGAAATGTTGAAATAATCTGAAGCCATTATGAAACAAAATACCGCTTTTAATAGCGTACTCTATATTTTCAAAATTCTCGTAGACCGTGATTATTCAAAAAATCGAGTTGTTCTAGTGATTGTAATCGACCGAATTTGGACTTTGACAATTCCTTCAGAAGGAAAAATTCGTGTTCAACTACTGTCATTAGCACATCTTCATAACTCACCTTGATGAAAGAATTCGTTCGCTAAGTGTGAATCAATCGCTCTACTCGGCATTTCCCTATCCGTCACAGATTGATGCAGAATATTGTTCAGGAATGAACGATGCATAAAGTCTATTTGATATGATCATCTTTAAGTAGCTGATACACATCACAGTAACATAAGTGGGTGTCAGGTTTTGAGTGTTTCTTTCTCATGTAAACACTGCCAATGGCATTAGAATGTTTTAAGTTTTTCTGACAGTGCGTGGCTTCAACTGATAGAAAAATGGATATATGTATGCGATGAAGAATGAAGTAATTCATATCACATTATAACTGATGAGTATGCTGAGAGATGCGAATTTATCACTGTTTTTGGTGGGGATTGTCCAGGAAGGGAGAAATGTTCAAAAGAGAACGAAGGAGAACAGTAAGGAAATATGAAACACACCGAGTTCTGCAATCTACTACTCCATTACATTGTTTAGGTATCGCAGTAACTCATTTGAGGTGATCAATATCAATGTCTAACGTGATCAGTGAACGATTCATTCACCACTATTGTTGAGTAATTAAGACGGGCTTGAAGATAGGAGAATTTCTACGACTTCTTAAAAAGGTTTTGGTATTGAGAGGTATTGAGAAATTGCCCACTAAAAGGTATTGAGAAATTACCCACTAAAAATAATTCATGTATCGATGTATATTATCTGATTACAAACGAACCGAAAAAATGGATAGCTAATGGTGAACTAATGATTGGATTTCTTTCGTTTAAAAAAACGTCTTGTGGTCAATGAAGCAACCATTTTATCAAGCCAATCGCTCTGTTTGAAACAGCAAATCCACCTGTTTCAATGAATGAATAGTTAAACCTCTATTTTAGAAAAAAATATACCATTGTGCTGCCGAATGCAACTCCCGTCCACCCACTTGATCCATACGGCAAATCTTTTAGCGTTAACTGAAAGTGGACTACTTGTGCGCTATCCAAATACCATTCTAATCCATACGCTCCCTCACGGAATCGACAAACTGCCGAACGAGCTCCTTTAAAAAATTACTGAATAGTAACTCCTTTAAATAGCCACATTTGCTTCTTTGCAATTCATGAACTTTTTAAGTGGACAAGTATTCTAAAAGCAATCGCTTTTCTCGGAATTGTTGGATGCTATGAATAACGCAAAAATAGCCTGTTAAATTTGATGATGCATCGTAATAGTGGATAAAATTTGGAAAAGTAAAAAGATCCGAACTGAACAATTTGGAGATCATTGATAAGAAACACAAAAGTAGACCATATCACCGTACCTTGTAGAAAAAGAGGAAATGCAATGAGAATGAAGAAGACGTTAAAACTGGGCATCACCAACAAGGAGATGAGAGTAATTCGAAATGCGTCTCTTATTCCAACACGAGACGTTTGTACGAAAATGGCTCCTCCACTAATGCATATAACTTTTGGAATGCTTCTGTGTAACCAGTGAACGAACTAAATCAGAAACTGTATACAATGAAATGCTGTTGTGTTGATAAAACGTTTATAGACATATGCATGGTTTCTTAATTGGATTCGCAGGATCCACATCCTCATCTGGGCTTCCCAGTTTCAGTTCTTATTGGATGCCTCTTTTTAATTTACATGTTCACGTTGCAGTCAACACGACAACAAACACATCAAAAGACCCGGATGAGGAATCGCACTTTGCACGTACGTATTCTACGTCGAAGACAAAAAACGATAAATGCTTTAACGGATTGATTTACAATCTCCTCATCAAGCAAGGGAATACTGAAATGCTAGGAAAGATAGCTGAAGTAATACAAACAAAATCACATCTATGGAACACAACTGTCATGGCGAGCAATTAGATGATGTAAACTGTGCGGGGAGTTTGTAAATAGATTTGGAAAGGACATGCAATGGTGTACTGGGGTTACTTCGTGCTTCGATGATCCGATGAGCTTAGAGGGTGTGCATTCAATTCCATAGCGATCCAACTGTTTGTTGAATTTCGATGCTGTTTTTAGAGAAATTTGAAAAACAGGGAGAAAAGTGAAGAGGGCTCAGTTTCAACACACTGAAACAAGTTCGAGGTATTTTATCGAATGATGATGAATTAATGAAGTGATGAGGCGTGAAGTAGAAATGTTTGTGACAGGGATGAATGGTTAAATGCTGAATATATGGCATGCAAACGATAATATTGGATCAAGTGTTGTATTGAGTAGATTACACATTTGCGAGACAATTCACTGATGATTGAAAGAATGCGAATTGCAATCAACTGAAACATTTATTCATTTAAGAAACATATCGCAATCAACAAACCGTGTCGAATGACACTATAAAACCCGTTAATTTTATTACGCTCAAAAATGGTTTCCTTTTAATATACGTATTATAATGGTTTGACACATACGTAACATTAAGGTCACACTCCTTTCAACTGCAATAATGATTAGGTGCAGTCAAAAATTACAATTCTAATGAATAGTTGATATTGGTCTATGCACATGAAAAAACGGATGACTAACATAAGTGCGCGTGGCATAATCGCATTCAACATAAATACGTCTCGATAAGAGCCTCTCGATAGAAGGGTAAGGTTCTATTGCTGCGCACTTTTGCCAATCTTCCAAACACCGTTCAGCAACCATCAAGTTCCTTACAGTTTCATTCAAGACTACAAAAGTGAAAGGCTCCGACTGATTCGAATGAAAAACAAGATAAAAATTGAATAGACTGAACAATACTGAAGTATGATTCGAATAAAAACATGAAGGTACCGTTTTTACAAAAACATGAACAACCTTGTGCAAACGACAATCATAAGTGTGTTGTCGAAGGTACAGCAATAATACTGATTATATGAGCATGCTGACGCAAATGACAGTTCTTAATTAGCATTGGAAACAAAGTTTAAACAAGGTACTCATCAGACCATCGTGAGGAAAATTTTGGTTAGGTGGAGAAGACAATTAGTTCAGAATTTGTTTACGGGAGTTATTTTGTTAAGAATGAAAAACATAAGATGGTCGTTCAATCTCAGAAGTTAAATGATCAGTAGAAATTGGAACCGCTCAGATGGATTCGACAAAACTGGATTCGTCGATCATTCAGTTGAAAGATTGTTCGTCTACAATTTTTGACATGAATGATGAAATTTGAAGGAAAATTGAGAGTGCCCCTGCACTAGGGAAATAAATCATCTTCAGAACAAAGTAGCTTCACAAATTCACAAAAGTAAATCTTCAGTTTTATCGGATATCAAGAAATAAGTGACGGATGAGATAATCCGAACTGGTAATGACAACCGAGCAAAATTTCATGCCGGTCGGAATCAGACCGATCAGGCTTTTCAACATTTCGACAATCGGAATAGTTCTGTCGGAATCAAACCGAATTTACATTTCAACATTCCAACAATCGAAATTCCGACTGACTGTCGGAATAGTTCAGTCGGAATCCGAATGTCGCTAGTCCGACCAAAATTTGTCGGATTTTTTGGAGCGACTGTCGGTCGGATGCGAGCTGAATACATTTGGTTCTGAAAATTCGGTTTGTAGTGCAGAATATTTCTAAAAGTGAGGTCTGAAATACGCATTTTCTAATGGATCAAAATTGGAACTTTTAAAAAACAGATTCATTTTCAACATGTAGTCATCTAAAATGAGAAAGAAGCATGAAAGACCATGAATTCTGAAAGAAACAAATGAAGTCAGCACGTATAGTGAGGACAATATGAACGATTTCAGCATGAAAAGAGAGTGGAAAGATCAATTACTATATTATGTCATTTGCCCGATGAATGTGTAAAATGCACGCGCTGGTGAATGAGAAACAAAAACATCGAAGCTGATGATTGCGAAGAGTTATCGCGCAATTTCAGATGAGTTATCTTAATCCGCAAAAATCGATCATTGACAATGAATCAGAGAAAACGATCGTGAAAGAGTGCTGGTTATTATATGACCATTTTCAAGACGTGAGAACCAGTTATAGCAGACAATAAAATGAGTAACAGTGAACAGTAGTAAAAACTTCCCACCAAATGATTGATGGAGCAAGTTGCTCAAATTCCCTTCCATTTCAGCTTTAAGACTACCACAATAAGGTGTAGTGAAATCAAATTTATTCACTTTAAAACAATAAAATATAGACACTGTGAAACCACCTGAATGGCAGTCGATAGATTAGTCGATCAGACCAATCGATAAGGTACTGAAGAAACAGTAGGAGTATTAAAATAAAGATAAATATAGAGATGGCACTTCGGTAATACAATAAGATATTGTTATTGCTATTGCAATGAATCAATAGTAGATCAATGCTTAGAAGAGATCTGGACCACGCCGAGTTGATTGCTTATGGCGAAGCGAATAATCGGGACTTTGCGAACGAATTATAGACTTTTTGTGCTTCAGTCCAACATCCAGCTTAAATTTGATCAGATTACTTATTATTTTCCAATGGTTGATTCATTCACTAAGGTCGCTGATTCATCGTAAACGTTAAAGTGTTATTTCACACAAAGAAAACTAATAATCCATCTCACTGTGATTGTATTATCGTATTCTTCATCCTCATCGTCAGTTTCAATCCTAACTCTTTGTATTATTCCATCGTTCTCTTTGACATCAGCAACTGATAAGCGATTATTCATCGTTTTATGAGAATGGAAAGAAACTTTTGACGATGTTCCACTCGATTCGGATCCAATTCTTGGAACCACTTGATACGCATCTTCGGGATTTAATCCAGCCGCCTCAAAAATGCAAACGTTTCAAACTATTCAAGCGATCAGAAATGAATATGAATTCATTTCTTAATTTATAATTCACCTCACGATGCGACATAAACTTCCAAAAATAATGTTACATATAACTTATATGTTTACCCTCATTTCATCAAGTTCCTTTGCTGAACATGTTGGTGTATCGACGTCGTATACGTTGTGAAACTTCCCAAAATCGATCCTGTATTCACCGTTTTCCCTCTGATAAGTGACAAGCTTCTCGAACCTAAAAATAGCGATCCAGAGTAATATTATTGCCTAACGCGCCACTACTCTTGTAGTACTCATGAATGAATTTCTATTATCAATGCACCTAACTAACAGCAACTGTTACATATCACTCTATAAAGCGTAAAATGCTCGATATCATTTCAACTTTTCTGTTTGCCTTTGCAACAACGAATTTTCTATGATCATACGACACTTCAATGGTATAGAAAGATACCTTTACCAGAACACTTTATTAGCGTTTAGCATCTATATTTAAAGTCCCCTTCCTGTTTGCAGCACCAGCTGGTGATCATGAATTTGAAAGAAATTAAGTCAGTAATATGTGCTGCAAGCAGGAAGGGAGCCTTGAACATAGATGCTAAATCATGAATCTGGTGATCATGAATTCGAATTTGAACACAGAGTCTGAGGCCGAATTACAACTTGATAAGGTTATTCTCACGTTATACTTTAAAGCAATCAGTTCTTTGAACGGATCAGTTGAAGTCAACCAATTTCAGTATCTGAAAAAACCTTCTGTCTCATCTAAGGGAATTTCTTCAACACGAAGAATTCGTGAATATTCTTCAGCGATTAAACTGATCCATCAATGTATTTCCATCATGATGAGAGAAAACAACTATGCAATTCAGTTGAATCCCGTATTTTGATTCCCTTCTACACCGGCACTAATCAAAGAATTTCAACTCGAAATACGTCGCCAAAGGTCTCGACGAATTCCTCAGATTACCAGTCATGTCATAGCTCCGAAATCAAAGGTATTGAATACTACCAACCTTTTACCCCATAAAATTTCATTTGGAAGATAGCTGGTACGTGCTTGTGTTGTTGAACCAACCGACTCGACAACTCCTTCCAAAATAGCAATGATTTCGAATCTAGATGTTTCCAGAGTTTCTTTGCTCACATCATACAGTGGACTGTTCTCATCAATTTCATGACATATTGTAATAGGCCAAATAACGAAAACACGGTCGAGGCCATCGTCATAACCGACATCCATATCGAACTGATGAAACGGTAGCAATTCCCCTTCGTATGTTATACACTTCTTTATCATCTGAACAAACTCATCTTTATAAGACGTTATCATTCAACCTGTCAACAATATGAACAGCTCACTTTGGCTGAATCAAAATGGCTGTCACAAAGCAGATCGCTTACCTGCAAACGAACATGAGCTTCGGCTAAAGAACTTTTCCTCATATCACCCACCCTGAACAGTAAGCACAGCTTTCCATCTCGCATACAAATAACAGCGTTTTTGCTAGAATTAATTGTTATAATATTGGAGAAATATTATTGATGTGACGTAAGACTGATCACGTGCTGAATTTTATAACGTGACCAATTATTTGCATAAATATTGCAATATGAGAGTCTCGAGTTTGATCGTCTTGAGCAGTAAAAATTATTTTAGAAATGATCGTACGCTGATATGAAATCATCAAGTAAACTTTAACTTTGTGTAATATTCAATCAGTAACCATGAATTTCCTATAATCGTTAAAAACATATCCATAAACGTCGTCCACAGTTAATCAGAATTCCGAATTATCAACCAATCAGTTTAGAAAGTGCCAATGATAATTATGATCGTTATTAATCGCAGTTAGTGGTTCTCACAGAGAGAAAAAAATTGATGGTGTTGTGTGGAAAAATTGAGGAGATTTGCTTTGAAATTCATTGTTGATTGAATTCTTTCACACAAATTTTCCATAATTGTTCATTAATGCTTTCAAAATGTTTGTTTAATCAGAAGAAATTATTTCCTTCGCTAGCACCGAAGAATTCTTGACAGCGAACTCCTTGATCATTGGAGCAATTCCCCAAATTGGACCAATCCCTGGGACCGGGAATGGCTGCCTGTCACAAGGGCAAAGAAAGGCACAGGGCACGATAGCATGAAAACCACTGACGTAAATGAACGTGATAAAGGACCACCCACCTGAATAAAATTGTTGCAGCGCGTTTAATCGGTCGAGCGAGTTTAGCGAATATGACACCGGCCATTAAAGTTTGACACATGACTCCGAGCATGAACTGAAGGCACATTGTGACAATAACCAGTGGACATTCGGAAGTGGGATATCTGAAAATGAGTAAATATTACGACCGCTCTTTGATGCTCAAACGCAACGTGAACTTCTAACGTTACAGTTTGTGCGCATTTTCGAGATTTACATCCAAAATTTCAAACGTGAATCGACTGCGCTCATAATTATCTGAATTCAAAGCACTTCGTTGCTCGGAAGAAAATACTGAATCACCTGAATCCATATCCAATGGTCGTTTGAGTTGTGAATGAAAACAGGAAAATATTAATGTTGCTATTAGCGTTCATTATACAGGGCTTCCATTCAGTATCATTGAGATGATCGAAATCGCCATGCGACAAGATAATCAGGTAGTAAAGGACGAAAAAGAAACTCCACGAAATAAGGAATGACATCGCAAAAAAGAGTAACGACCATCGCCATTTTACTTCAATTACTGTGGTGAAGATATCGCTATAATTCATAACGTGTAAGCATCTTTCATAATTTATTTTTCTTACATTAGAATAAACCACATCGAATTCAACATTATGTCGATTCTTTTGATATTTCTTTATCGCAATTAACTTTCTCATCACCACCTCAACTGTTATACCGCTTTTCATTTTGGAACGAATCAGATATCAGCATTCTAGTTGTAACTCCATCGTGTTTTGGATCTGATGGTGCTCGTTTTCAATCGAACTCATCGTTTCTGCATGGCTTAAAATATTTCTTAAAGGCAGTGCGCCTAGTAAGCAACAAGTGGCACTGCACTCTCTTACTTGTCAAAAGCGCAATGTCAAAGAACTGATAGAAGAAGATTGTATTTTTGTATCGAACGATTTTCAAGCAACAGCATCTCGTGTGCTTATGAAAATAATTTACGAGAAGAAGCGGGATTGATGTATTCGGATGAGACAGAGTGTGTATGCGTGACGAAGTGAACAAAAGAATTGTTTAAGAGCATAATTTCATTTTTGCTAACCTAAAGTATTTTCGTCGCTGTTTAGGGACATTCACAAGTGAAATGTTGCATAAACCATATTTTTGGACCAAACGGTTTCGTATCCTTCGAGAACCAATGCGCGGTGCTCTGAAGAATCGATTACGTTCTCGCGAATCGGACTGAACCAGCGATTTATTCTCAGAACCTTTCATCGTCACATCCGTTACCACTACAATTTAAGCATGATGCAACTATCTCTGAGTCATTTTTTTTGTTATCAATCCTTTTTTCCGTAGCAAATTTTATACGGGCGATGCGATGGAATTCACAACATCTACTTTCACAACATGTGCATATTAATCGTCTTATGCCAGAAATAGTGTAAATTGAATATTAAGAACATTCAACTCCTTTCATTCAAGAGATAAATCTCGTTGCTAGGTAACAAAGACTTTTAGGAATTTTACATGGAGCATGCAGCCATCGCTAGGAAATTTCTGCTTTCTGATTGCATTATCATCAACGACATGTGTGCATGACCTTATAATACTCTACAAGAACGTACTTTCGACAATTATTGATTCATGGTTCAAATCTTATTGCAATACTTTATCAAATTAATTGATGTGCAAAGCGCAATCCAATGGTTTTGGTAGGGAAAGATTAGAGTTCTTAATGAGCGATACAAAAGAGAGCATGAAGTTTAGATTTTTTTGGGTTTGAACGTTCGAAATTTTGAAGGAATGATGTGTTACATGCGCTTCACTGAGGTCAAGCACTATAAGATAGTTGAAAGCTATGCGACGATGAAGCCAAGCGAAAATGTTCAGTGGAAAGTCAGGTTTGTTTTGGAATTATGAGGGTTGAAATGGAACTTTCACGATTAGGACACATGAACGAAATCAATAACTGCATACGCACTTGACTGTTACCATTGAACCTTTTGTGAAGAAAGAAATGTTATATTGTGAGTGCATAGTTGCTTAAGTGTAGTGAAAAAAATGAGAGCATGAAATTGAAAATAAGAAGTTCAAAGAGGGTCTTCGATGAAGCACTAGTTATAGAGTATTGAGACCTCTGAAATGATGAGAATATATATGAAGTTAAACCAGAAAAATAATGTCTGGTATTTAGTGTGGATTTAGATTAGCAGCACATGCAATAGCTACGCTGATGAGCAAGTGAGATAGCAGCACGGCAGCCAGACGCTACGGTTTCACCCTAGCAAAAACCTTTTGCTTAATCCATTCTTTATGCATGGAACCATACGGATCCATTAAATGCTTAATTCCGATAAAGTGATACGATAAGGTAGTATGAATACATTTTTTAAATGACCTGATTTCTCTAAATTTGCCAAGGTTGTTCGCAAGATTTGAGAATTATCCAACGGTTCGTTTGTTATCTATGGTCGTTGAAAGAGCGATTGCAGAGATTTCATGTTGTTTCAGTCACAGTGCAACACTTCTCACAATTTGGGATTCTGATATGAAAAACTCATTCAATCAAATAATGCAGCCGTTTACGACTCTGAGAAATGTTGCTTGATGCATTTTTTATACATTTTCACAACGAATCTTTTCATTTGGAAATTAGCGTCAAAAACTTGTTCGAATAACGGCCAAACGTCAAGAAGAGAGTTGAACTGAATTTTCGGCGATGAAATAAATGGTAATGAGAAAGATGTGATTAACGCAACAGCATTACCATGCTATTATATTCGGTTGCTCTTGAACGATTTGTTAGTGGCTTGAAGCATACATACTGAATCAGTTGCATTAAACAACATATATGTATGTATTAAATCTGATAAATGTGCACTCAGTATGGGAATGCGAATGAACATTATCACTGTGCACGTTGCCTAGACACTCGCTAATGGCTACGATCTTAATCATAT